AAAATTAGAGTTAAACTCATCTTCTAGTGATAAAGGACTCAAACTTTATTCAAACAATACTTTTTAATTTAAACATGTCATGTTCGACTAAATTTATATTTTTCACCGAACGTAAATACTTGAAATTGCAAAAAAAATATAATAAAAAGTTTAAAAAATTAACTAACAATGACACTACTGCATCTAATAACAGTAAATTTGCTAGCAAACTATTATATACTATGTTTTTTATATGGCTTTTATTAAAAAATAAAGAATAAATTCTTTTTTTTTTCAGCCACAGCTCATCCAGAATTGTTTAATTACATGAAATTTCTAGAAGACCATATGCAAAAATTAGAAGGCTGTGTACGAGAATTGGAAGTCTATGTACAAGAATTAGATACTATGCTCAAATTTCAGGCTAGAGCTAATCATGTGAATTTATATGAATTCCTGCAGTCTGGTTATATGAATTGTACCATGTGAATAATCATATGATCTAGCTATCTTCACTGAGTTTTCAAATATTCTGTATCAGATATTTAGCATATGTACATAAGTACGTATGTGTTTTATTATTACTGTATTACAGTATTTCAGTATTGTAACAAGTTATCAAATATATAATATTGTAATGTCAAATGTATATATCATATGATTACTATATCTAATATATATTCATTACTCAAACATCGTATCATAATTAAGACATTTAAAGTAATAGTGACTTAAAAATCATTACCAATACTTTTTGAAGTTATATGGAAATCTTTGTAATTTTTGAACTATAATTTACATAGTTCCGAAAGGTTATTGATTGGCAAAGATTCTATATATTTTTAAATCTTTTAATATTAAGTTTATTTGATATTAAGAATTTAAAAGAAGATAAATATTCTAAGAAATCATCGTGAAAATATTACCCACATATATACTTTTTCAGAGTATTCTATACCTGCAACATCTTGAGTAAACTTACAGATTTTTGTTATTAATCACGAGCTTAATTTGATTGTTTCTCGTTTAATTTGCTAAGACAACTAGAATATTATTTGCACAAAGTATTTTGTGTGAAGCTTCGAAACTATTACAATAATATACTAATTATAGTATCCAATGAAATGTTAAAAAGGTTTGTTTCTGGTGTTACACAATCATACTTATTCTCTGATCATGTGCTATAAGGCTCCTATCGGACCAGACTGAACCAAACTTTTGTCAAGTTTGAGTCTGGTTCAATTTTCAAACCGGACTCAAACTTTTTGTTTTAAACTTTTTAGTAAAGTTTGAGTTCGGTTCAGGTTCAATCTGAAGTTTGCAAACTAGTTTGAGTCCAAATAGTACTCCTATTAAACCAGTTTAGTCCAAAGTTTGCAAACTAGTTTGAGTCTGAATAGTAAATAATAATCATTTATAAAAATATATTATCGTTCTTCAAAATTGTACTAACCTAATATGAATTCCACTACAAACACCATTTCTTTTTCTCAACAACTGCTTCTCAGACAAACCCTTCTTGACACCACTATCTATCCAAAAACAATCACTTCCTTAACAATTACCTCCTCCCCAAAACAACTACTTAGTAATTGACAACCATTTACTTGACAATCACATCTTCGCATCTCTAACAATCACCTCTTTCCCTTCCCCAACACTACCTACCACTTTCCCGGTATCACTTTTTCACCAATCTTTCTACCACAATAATTTTAATATTATTTTCCCTTAACTACTATATTAATTATTTTCCAGCATAATAAAGAAAATAAATAAATTATTAAAAAAAAAAACTATCGATTAAATAAAAAGCAAAATAAAAATAATAATTTAAATAAATTATTTAAAAAAAAAAGCATTGTTAAAAAAATAAAAATAAAAAATAGTTAAATTTTAAAATTAAAAAAAAATTTCACTGGTCAATCAAATTTTAAGATGTAAAGTTTGTAACTCAAAATTTTGAGTTACAAACTTTACATAATGTAATTTTAAAAATTGATTGCCTAGTGAAATTTTTTTTTTATTTAATTAATTTAAATTTAAATTTTTATTTTTATTTTCTATTCTTTTTCAATTAATTTAAAAGATTTATTTTTTAATTTTTTTATTACGATTTTTTTTGAATTTATTTAATACATTCTCATAGTTCTAAGCTAAAATTCTCTGATACAATCATTAATATTTTTTTTGCTTGTTGGGATCACATACCAAACACCATGTTTTAAGTTGTCTTTAGTTCAATATATACTTTCTCTGTATTTAAGTTGCCATTTTAATCATCATCAAATATTTATATTTTTTAAATCATTAAAAATTTATTGTAATACTCATTGGATGAATAGAATGATAATCTGAAGGGTATCATTTAGTAATAAATAAGTGTTTGTAAATATAAAAAACTTTTTTAATCTGCTGATTAATAGATGCATCTTTATACTCATTCACTAATACAGGCTGAATTTTAAAATTTA